TCAAACTCAGAGATCTGTCTGACTCTGCTTCCTGAGTGCTGGAATAAAGGCGTGCGCTACTACCGCCCAGCCCCATGCTATCTTTTTAAAATAGATCCAAGTATCCACCTATCCCCACCCCCACACTAGTGGTGGGATTACAGATACTTGTCACTGTTCTGCATGGGTGCTGGGAATCTTAACTCCAGTCCTCACACTTGGGCAGGAAGCACTCACCCACTCAGCCATTTCCCAGACTCTGTATCGTGTATACCCTATAGATGCAATCTGTAGATAACTACACAACACTTTCAATAATTTATTGTATGAAATATAGTGTGCATTGTGCCAACAAGAAGCAAAGATATTGCTATCTCTACCAACCATGTGGGCAATCTACAGTTGTTAGGAATCAACATACTTGTCTGAGTTTATATGCTACCAATACATTACTACTTTCTTATGCTTGTTCACATGTAAATAATTGGAATATCATCACTCCAGTGATACGATGTGTTCAGGGAAACCAGGCAGCAGAGGAGGAGTTCCAGAATGCCAATATCAGCTGTTCAACAGCAACCACTGGGAGGTTTTCAATCTCTACCTGTGGTGCTGGTCGGCCTATGACCTACAGGCTACTGCAGAGCTGGAAGGATGGCTTGGCAACTGAAGACTAGGCTCACACCAAAAAAGGCAAAAGCTATTGTACAGTTTGTTCCAACTTGAATATATTTTGAGTCAGGGTCCCAATGTATAGCTCACATTGATCTCAATCTCTTAATCCTTCTTAGTGGCCCAAATATGGCTGGGTTTTCGTTGTTTAAGGTGACAAGAAAAATCTCAAGCAATTGAGGGATCTAGAAATGAACCCCTTCCTTAGTGATAAGGAGATATTCTGGTGTATGGCTGTTGAAATGCTCCCACAGATCCCCAAGTATTGGGACCTAACTGACAGTTGGTGGGCATTTGGTTACGATCTAATAACTGAGTTAGTTTTTTCTTAAACTACTACTACAGTGGCATTATTGGGGGATATTGGGAAGCAGGTAGCGCTTATTTCAAGGCCCTTTCTCTGGATGCTGTCCTGAATGAGATAACCAGCCTCTACCACATGCTCACACCACCATGATGATCTTTTACCTCAGGCCCAGACACAGTAGGACTGACTAGGAAGGAATGTAGGTAACCTCTGAAAACATGAGCTAAAGCAATTCCTCCCTTTGTTATGTCTCACGACAAAAGACCTACAAGTTTCCCAAGTGTTGGTGAAATATCTCATTGAGTAATGTGCTTGCCTTACAAGCATAAGGACCTGAGTTCAGTTCCATCAATGATAGTAAGCTCAGGGATGGTGCTGTACACTTGTAACCTTAGGCACAGACAGGGGTGTCTCCCTGGGACTTGCTGGTCAGAGAACCTAGTTCCAGGCTCCTGAGAAATCCTTTTAAGAAGTAAATAGGCAGCACCTAAGGACCAACACCTGTGGCTGCTGTCCTCTGCCCTTATATGCAAACATACTCATTAAGCACACACCAACACAGATTCACACATGTGAGCCCCTGCAATGTGTATAATGACATTGTTTTTGCAGTTATTAATACCATCTTCTTCACATCCGTTGTCAGAATCATGATGGTTTACCATGATTCTGACTATTTCATCATGGGTCAATGAATGGATGAATAACTGAAATTTCAGTATTGATGTTTAAAAAGTGGATATCCATTTCTTCCAGCTTCTATAAGAGCCTTACATTGGTGAGGTTTTTTTTTTTTTTTTCCTCCCATGTGTAAAAAAGAAATCTTTGATGGAGAGGAGTTGTAGAAGGGTCAGTGGTTAAGACCACTGGCTGCTCTTCCCAGGACCTGGGTTAGATTCCCAACACCTACATGATCTACAATGACGGCTCACAACTGTATGTAACTCTAGTTTCAGGGAATCTAATGCCTCCTTTTGGTTTCCATGAGCACCAGGCATGAATATGGTACAAAAACATATACGCAGGCAAAACACATCATATACATAAAATAATTTTTAAAAATGTAAAGGCATTTTCCTTGATATGCAGAATCCTCAATGATCATTACCACTACTACCTATAGTTGGAAGGCAGAAATTGTACCAAGCCGGTACAATTGTGTATTTAATTGCTGTGTTCCAAGCGCTGGGAATAGAACAGAGATCACTTGTTATACAGAGGCTCGTTCCCTCTGCTACTTCTTGGAAACAGAGTCTCATGTATCCAGGCTGTTCTGACACTCTATGAAGCCCAG